GGGGAATATTTACGCCTTAACTTAAGCGTATAGTGAGGAAATACCGAGATTGCGGCACAAATCTCAAGCTGGTCGACTTAAGCGTCGTAATATCGATATAGGTGATGGGAGGAAACTCCATCACCAGTGCGAAATTGAGGTCAAAGGCAGTTGGTGAAAGGTCAGATATACGACATTTTCTGAGACTTGGTCTAACGACGAGTGTCAAAAACTTTTGTGATAATGCTGGTTGTATCATGTGTCTGACGTCATCATGACGTCAGCCGCGGCTCACTACACATGTACGCGGCCAAGCAAAACGCTCTCTGGATTCACATGTACCGTTATATGGAGAAATGAGCATGTACAGAGGCGGCACATAGTGTTAGCCATCGAATAAAGTTGAAAATGAAAAATCGGTAAAATTTTTCCTAAAACCTTGAGAGTATCCTTAATACATGTAATATAGCGAAGTCATTAAAGTTACACAGCTGTATCTTTATTACTGTACTACCGGTATAGCAAAGCCTAGCTATCATAGATTTTAGATCTCCTGGTAGTATCCTATGGTAGTATCTCCTGGTAGTATCCTGGTAGTATCCTAGATATATGCTCTGAGCGCGAACGCGGTGACTGGAGGGCGCACTTGATTCGGTTGCCAGTGAGTTTATCAGAAGAATACCTGGCTACAGTACACGTCAGTTGAGCGCTGTCGCTCTGCGGCACTTGTTATATTTATTGGGTGCCTGTAAATATTATGTGTTCTATCTACTACCCCGATATTATATGTAATCAATCATCTAATTGAACATGTCAAACGTTTTTGTTTGATGGATCATGTTTCCTGCTATTTAACAATGATTTACTGGTTTGTACCGAGAAGAAATTACCATAATCAATGTGGCTTAAAAACTGTTTTTGCGTACTGATATTTTAGTGTAAAAGATCATTTTCGTTTTGTATAACTTGTTTAAAATGTTACTTTCAGAATCAAGAGTGTGTGATGACGACTGATGTTGTTAGTCATGCTGCCGGTGAGCATGCACTGATGTCTGGATCCCAAAACCACATGTTGAGAAAAGCATACTCACAGTCACAGAACTGTCTATACTTGGCAGCATTCCTGTGCTTCAAGACTCAGTGCCAGGTAAAAGAACGGTTTGTTGTCTGATACGGTTTACTGGTCTAGTTGTTTTGCGCATATATGTGATATATGAGGATAATTGAGCAAACTCGTGTATTTCTTTGTCATAGTGTTATTTTGGTATATAAGTGTTCTGTCAGTGTAAAAATAGCATCACTGTTATAACTCGTGTATATTGAACACAATTGCCAATAGAAATACATTGTCCTTTCCAGTTCAATGTGTTTAAACCAAGCTATATTTCTGGGCAATACCAGCTAGATCTCATTGCAACTATATATGGTGCACAAGTAAGTATTGATTGTTACACTAGGTGTGTATTTTGATCTAAACGATTTAGTCTTTTTCTTGATGTAACTGGCTGTTGGTGTGCAATTAGTCTAAAATGTTTAAAGGATAGTCATGCATTACTGTTTTTTAATATACAGGCAATTGCCAAGTTATGAATGTAATTGGTTCAGAAATTTAGTTTGTAACTCTATTGTTCAGAAATTAAAACGTGCATTTTCATAACGTGTCATTTCAATCTTATGTCTTGGTTACAGTTCATAAGTTACAATCATATATGAAATTTAATTATAATTAAATGGAGAATCATTTTTACATGGTATACAGTTAAAGTATGTTGTTTGGAAATTAGGGACATAGTGTATGTTGTGACATTTATATGTTAAATATATTGATTGTTAAACTATATGTAATGAGTGGGAGCTATTTTGCAGGGGGACCTGATAGATTTTCAATTGTCTACCACTCATCTGTGGAGTCTGTGGGCAAACAAAGATGGCGATACTGTTGTATCGTGTGCACCGCTGAATGGGTATGCTGGTTTACTGTAATGGAAAAATGTTTAACCAGGATGCATTGCGATTGTAACTAAGATATTCTGCAGATGTATAAATCTTTGGTTGATGTTTATCTTACATGAAATGAAGACTATGTAGATAGACATTAGTGGCGTCTGGAGAATCCATTTTTTATTGTTGTAAAAAGAACTTGGTTTTAACCTACATATTGTACTATGATGTGGTACAAAAACTAAAAGTTATATTAGAGAAAATAAAATTGGGCAAGATTTTGTGTTGTAGACACTTTAAAACCAATTAGATGATGATGAAGTTATGGCAGATCTTCACATGGTGTGGCATGATGACACTAAGTCACCTGACTTCATTTAGGTTTTAGTGCACACTAACACACTTGCCTGCTTTGCAGTTGCCAGAGAGAGATGTTTACATTTGTTATTATTATGTAAATATGCAAATTTTAGCAGGACATCTACGGAAAACATTCAGGTGTTTCTGAACAAGACGCAGTCGATGGTGCTGCCTGGGCATGGTGATGTTGCTGAGAGATTTATGGAAGAGATCTTCAGGCCAGGCCAATTCACGCAGCAGACTATAGTGAAAGTTGTAAATGTAAGATTGAACTATCTACATGCATTTTTGCTTAGTTCATACAGGCAGACTATTTTTAGTGTCATAGAACGGCAGAACTGTCGAGAAAGTACAGTACAGACGACAGAAATATATACACTTATGGCATGGTATGGCATGGCATGGTATTTTATAGTATAGTACAGTAGAGTATAGTATAATGTTGGTTAGTGTACGTTAGTGTAGTGTAAATTAATGTACTGTAGTGTAGGCTAGTATAGCGTAGTGTAATGCAGTGCAGGTCAGTGTAGTATAGTGTAGTGTAGTGAGTGTCGTGTAATAGAGTGGAGAGAAGTATCGAACAGTACAGAACACAGCATCTAGAGAATAAATGTCCCTATCTGATTTACCCCATCTTTGCACCAATGTAAATCATCTTGTTCGTATAGCATAAACTATATGCGTTTTCTTGGTAGCCAATAGTAATTTAACTGGTAATCAGTCATTTCAATTCAATGTCAATTTCAATTTGTCATTTGGTATAGAAACAAATGTTGGATAGTGCCTGACTCCTTACCACGTAATGTGCATGTTTTACAAATTTGTTATCTGATGCTCTATGAATATACATATTTAGCTGCTGGGAAGAAAGTACACATGTATAGTTAACACACGTAATATAATCAATATTTTATATGTATATCAATATGTGTAGCTACAGAGGGCACAACAGTCGGTCACGTCCTAATCGCGAACTTCATAATTCACATTTGTGCTGTGTTCTGTAACCACACTAATGTTGGTTGTGTTACGCAGAATATACACCCTATCTGTTGTAGATGACAAGACGCTTGGGTGTGACGGGGTCCACACTTGAAGCCGTGGATGTACAAGCACTACACGAGAAGGTCTTGGCAGCTGTTGACTATGAGGCTCGGACGTGCCAGGTGTGTTCGCACGAGAGAGAGAGAGCTGAGTGTGTGTATTCTCAATGTTCAGAATGAACATAACGTGGAAGTTAGCCACACATTTGCCGTTGCCTAAAATTATTACTGCAAAGTCATGTGTTCAGATGGCAAATCTGAGCTACCATACGACATGTATAAAGTCATGAAAAACATCAGTATGTTTTTTCTTTGCATTTTACAGACAGAAGACTTTGATCTACTCGAGAATGAGTTGTATGAGGCACAAGCACAAGCTTGGACAAACTTCTACTCCAGCTGCATCCAATACAACAAAGTAATGCTTGTGTAGTATCTGTATAGATGAAATGTACCCAAAACATTAAAAGTAGTGTAAAACCATAATATAATATATATATATAAATTTTCCATTTATGTCAGTGATCCAAGAGTGAAATCTAATGAAGTTTTCTTATAGTATTTAACTTGGTATGTAATGTAATAATGCTGTCATCCTCTGCAAACTGAAATTGTGAGTATACATAAAAAATATGAACTTGCTTTACCAATCATGGGATGCAGTTCTAAATCCCAAAGTATTCGTAAGTATTACATACTTTTTAGCCTTGTAATATTTTAAAATTTAAAGTTATATGTTGAAAGTAATACTGTATCTGAGTTATCTGCTATATGGTTATGGTATGATTAGGATGTATAACGTTTTTTAGGTTTGGGTTATATAACCATGCCTCTGGAGGTATGTCCATATATATATAACCATGTCCAGATATCTATGTACTAGAGAAAACTATACTGTCAGGTTTTGGATATGGAATTATTTATGGATTGATATAAGACTTTACAAACAAACCTTTGTAATCAACCACCAGGTAGGCATGAAGCCTCTGGGCATTGGTTTGGATTCTGAGACAGGCCAGATGTTGCTACTGAACAGACAAGCAGTGTCATACATTCGGCCATGCGACACACTTGAACACCTAGATTTGGCAGAACCCGGAAACAAGTTGTATTTCCAATTTCTCCAGGCTAACATGCAGAACATAGGTAGGTCAGCATGGTAAAGTTGGCCTGGAAATTATTAGAGTATGAACCCTTTTAAAGTTAGTAAGCATGCTAGTCACTTTTGCAAGGAAAGGTGAAAGTACTGTGTTATAAAGTGTGCTTATTTCAGATACAAATTCGTGGCAGGATGTTGCCATTCTCATGGAGTGTATGCACATTTTTGGAAGGTTTTGTGAGCAAACGACTGAACTGTATTCAAGCTTTGAGCAAGACATGAAATACAACACCATGCCAGAGTGCATTGCTGATAAGATTGTTGTTGCAGTAATTTCCAAGATGGAGACAGATGGGTAATGATTAACATATTTCTTTATGCACGAATAATACGTAGAATACTTATCATGAATAAGATGAAAGTAATAGAAGTCAAGACATTTCTTGTAAACCATAATTTTCCTGTAAAAATTTAACATCTATGAGATGTTACCTAGTTTTTCTTAATATAATTTAAACTATAAATTAGTTAGCAGTAAAAAAATGTTTATATGATACTACGTAATGTATTTACTTGGCCGAACGTCGAGTTGCTTAATCTGAAATTTTTCTACATCTGTGCTGTAGTAAGATTAATTATTTAATCTTACCGTAGGTCTGAAGACTCTTGTCTGCACAAGTTGAGCAAGCTCATTCAGGGCATGTCAGATGTGGCTGGAGCCATTGATACTGTGCTGGAATTACTCGATCTTGCACATGGCCATCCGGAAGGCTTGCAAGTAGAAAACACAAGTGTGTCTCAGATATACCATAGAAATATATGTACAGGAAAAAGATGCTCAATGGAAATGTTCAAATGCTGTAAAGATTTCGAGATTTGTGTAATCATTATTATGTTTATCTGCCAATAGTTCATAATGTTTGTGTTGTAAACATTTACTGACATACTTGCTTCACTGAAATTAAGGTAAGTGCTTGTCTGTGTATTCCAGTTATTGAGGTCGCGAAAAGCCACGGCACAAGGCGGCTGTTGTCCAGCCAGAGTGCTGTCAGGATGCTCGGCATCTGCTTCTTCCAGCTAGCCGAGACACGGTTTTCTATCTGCAGGGACCTTCTCATCATGCAGGTCGGGCTTGTATTAGCACACGCTTGCACTTAGGTAGCATTCAGGTAGATTACTCTGGTGTCCTATTAGCAATGATTACCCTTCGTTATGCAGCCTAAATCTATGTTTCACAATTATTTATTACATGTATTACTGGTTTCCTAACACCTATCATTACTATATTATTATACTAAACAGTATAATAGCATTGCCTACGCTTGTGATGGGCAATGAAATGAGAAGTTCTCAGGGGAAACAGGACTTGCTTCAGTTGGGCAAATCATAATATCACCCTCAGACATGGTTAATTAACGGTTTATTGTACGGATTAGTATTCGAAAGCATAGCTGTCAGGTTTGTTAATTTATGACCCGGATGTGCAGTAATGCCCTCTGTCATGCAAGCAATATAATCACGCGAGAGAAATATGTGAAATATACACTATGTGGAGTGCCCTAACATGGGACATGTTTTAGCTAACCAGGAATGCTGTTACAGCCATGAGGTATAATAATATATATTTTCTTCTCGGCCAACGGCCTAATGTGTTTCGTTGCTAGTCATTAATTGGTCTGCCAAGAATATGCGGAACAGGTGTTCACTGTAAGTGTTAGGGATAATTTACTATTTTCATGTATGTTGACAGGTGTTCTTGACAACGCTGGATAACAGATCTGGTCTGTCGTTGGAGATGATTAAGCGTCTGAAGTCGGAGTGCATCATGCGGACAGCGGTGATGTTGCGAGCATCGGCTGTGCTCCGATGGATCAGCACCACCAGTGCCGTGCCTGTGCCTAGCAGCCAGCTGTGAGTTTGCCGCACGTCCGCCTTTCAGCTGTTTGTTTAGTGGAAGCAATACACATTAACAGCAGTAGCATTTAAAGAGAGAGAGATCTACAACAAAAATTAGTGAGATGCAAAAAAAGATGAATGATATCTTGTCAGTTTTGCTAAATATCATTGTTTTGAAACTACTAGGTCTATGAGTAAAAGTATTAGGAGATGTCAATGAGGTTCAGAGGGCTTCATGTTAAGCGGTGGCATGCTCATTATTTATGTATTGTTTGTCTTGTCACGTTTTTCCATGTACACACATGGAACATACGCACGTATGTATGACTATATGTGCGATATGATGACTCAGACTGTTATGCGTCCAAGAATTTCGTGGTCATCTGTTTAATGTTGCTCAAATGCACATAAGGTATTGTTTTGTAACAGGCAGTGTTAATGATTAAAAGTTTTCCATTATTTTTCTAGAGAATCTAGTGTGAGACAACTTGGAGTACTACAGATTACAGGATTAATGGAACGGTCACAAAATAACAGATATGGTATGAAGTTTAATAATTTCCAATTATACCATAACTTAATTATTGTTGATAATTTGATCACTTTTTGCTCAATTGAGCTTTCAATTGAAAAAAACTTCATTCCTATTAAATACAGTTAAACTTGTCATTGTGAACATATTCATCAATGCTGATATGAAAAGTGGCAAGTGGTTAAATGGTCTTCATTGGCCAAATCGATTATGGCATCATGAAAGTGCATTTGTACAGAGAAGTATCATCTTGACCTGTCAGGTATGCCATAGCTAATTGCATGTTATATTTGTTTCATAGATGATGGCGTTACTCTGGCAGAGCTGTTCATTGACGGTGTGGGTGGAAACATGGCACGTGGCCTTATGATCCAGAATGGCTTTCTAACAGACGAGCTGTCATCGTCATGGAAGCAGGCATCCATTCCACTGGTCACATTCATCAGTCAGCTTGTGTATCCTAACCAAAATGAAATGATTTTGTTGTAAATCTATTTGTTGTGATCAGGTATCAGTATGTAATAAATGTATAGAGAAAGCGCAGCGTAGGTCAAAAGAAGACACGACTAAGGTGGGAAGGAATATACATTTGATTTGTCACAGAATGAATTTTTAAATGAAATGAAAAGTCGCGCAATTGCTAGAACAATATATGTTCAACTATATATGGCCTGTTAGAAGTTTTTGGTTAAGCACCCAATAAGGGAAGATTTGGTTCATAAAAAGTCTCGAAGTTAGCTTATATTCCTACTAGTCTTGTTCTACTTTTGATTTGCATAGCAAGTGTTTTGCACTTTAACCACTAATGATTAGATGGCCAGTGAGCATTGGATTTGTCTTTCCCGAGTTTCTGCTGGTAAAGTGTCAGTACTCGGCTCTGATGGTATGTAAGCCCACTGGCATTATATCTAGTACTAACGTCATGTTTTCTAGACATGTCTGTAAATGTTGAAGCAGCCAGATTAGTAAACAATCTTTTTTAATTGGATTTGATTTGATTAGTTAAAATTGTTAACATGTGTTTAGATTAATATCTTCCATGTGTGGTGCGTAAGCAACAACATGCATATTTCACATTGCAATATATGTAATTCAACACATGCAATCTCTGCATTTTTTAGGAGTACATCAAGATGGTGGATAGTTGGTGTGACTGGAATCCTGCGTCACGACACTTCCTGCTAGCCTTCTGCTATCTGAACCTGGGTGAACCGTACAAGGCATGTGACCTGTTCCTGAAAGCTGGAGACAGCATTCAGAGCTACGAACCCTTCCTTATGAGGCTTCTCGGAGAGACAGACTCTGACAGCAAGGAATCACTAAGAGTGCTGTTTTACCTGAAGGTACATTCCTGTATTTTAATTTCTAATATGCAATTTCGTGTTATTAGGTTTATACTTAATTGACACTTATCGTGTCCAGCAGTTGCAGTGGTTACTCTATAAAGATCATAATGTGGAATTATGTATGAATTCATATTCATTGACATCTCATCCCACACACTTGCTGACTCGTTTTCTCGCTAAGTGATTGTTATGTTGAAAAATGGGTTTGTGTCTGTGTATGAATTTCATGGTTTTTGTCATTTCGTACAAATTCTGTCCTGGAGTATTTTGCTAAAAGTGATGTAATTAAATTTATTTTTTAATTGATCTTCCTGAAATGTAAATTTTTATGCAGGTTACACGGCTTCTTGAAGAATTCGACTTGCCAGACGTTGTTTTATCGTTTGCCACTGCTGTCATCAACTCTGCTCAAGTTGACAATCCTAACGTGGTAATTTGATCAATGATTCATGTCGGCTAGCTTTTAATTTTACATTGGAAAGTTGATTTTTCAATTTATTAATTTTACTGATTTAAACTGATCTAGTCATAATCTATTTATAAATCTTTGATATAGACTGCTAGAAAGTATATATTTTAATTCAATGTCACGTAATAATCTCAGGCTAGTGTTCTTAAATTTTACGAAAATTAATTTGCATATTGGATATGTTCATCTTTTATGTATCATTCCTTTGAACAGCCAACATTGTGGTCTCTAATCTTCAAATATCATCTGGAGCTTGGCCATTATGATGAGGCATACAGTGCACTCAATTCCAACCCAGATGCAACAAGGTAAGCTGTTATTATTTCAGATTAGATTTATTACTGTAATACATGAATTTTTATGGCTTTGGAACCTGTGAAAAATCTGGATACTGCATGATGCTGGTATGATAGTGTTCTATGTGGGCTTGTCAGCGCAGTCAAGTGTTAGTATTCATGGCCATCCCTGCATCATTTATTTCAAACGTCAAAAATCAATTAAATGTGATGTCGGATCTTGCTTTGCTCCTAAACATACTTAGGGTTACGTTCTCTCAACATATATATTCGACCCAGATTTTAGTTCTTGTCTTTGTATATTTTTACAAATTTTTTACTGGTATCTTTAAGCATGGGTTAACCCTTTCCAGTATTCTTAACTGTGAACCACGATTTAAGCTCACTTTTGCATGTTTGGGGTTGGCACAAGGACTGAGTGCCACAGTTCATTGTCATGCCATGTGAATAGAAGGATGATATGCTCGACTCTTTATTGACATTTAGCTGGGTCATGACAGGGTCTTACATTTGGGTGCACTGTTGTTATGTGCTTGGTGCAGGCACAAGGACTGCCTGCGACAGTTCATCATCGTGCTGTGTGAACGCAAGGAGCTCAGCCTGCTCGTGAGCTTTCCCTACATAGACCTACAGGCAGACGTCGTCCGAATCCTCGAGTCCCGCTCTCGCTCTGTGCAGCTCACGACGCACAGTTACTATGAGTTGCTCTACTCCTTCCACATGCTAAGAGGGGACTATCGCAAAGGTGCGAGTTCTACTAATGATATTTGATGCTGTAGCTGATCTACTCATATCAAACTGATAAAGGTGTAAGTCATTTGAGAATAATTTTTCTGGGACATTGTGGTCGCCAGCATTGGACATTCGTTACACCTTATATACCTGTTGGGGTGGGACTTGCAGAACTGGGTAAAATTCATTCTGCATATTGCAGTTTCCTTGTTCAAACTGTGCACGTGTACCGGCTGTGTTCTTGGTCGTTGGTCAGCAGAAGAAACGTGCAAAATTATTATTTGTAGGGTGCTGGCTTTCTTGTAGAAATTTAATGTAATTCGTTTGCTGTTACTAGCTGGTAGCGTGATGTATGAGTATGGGAGGAGACTCGGACAGGAGGTGGCCGGGATGCAGGCCTTGCAGCAGCAGGTTAGGTGCTACCTGACTGCAATGAATGCTCTCAGGGTTGGCTCACCCGAGTATGCATGGATAGTCAGGCCGGCACACAACGTCAAAAACACAAAGGTATTTGCTTGTATGTGCATCTGGGAATGGCATTGCCTTACGGTGGGATAACTGTTGTTACTTAAAATAGAGATAAAAGTTTGTAAAAGTGTAAGGAGGAATTAATTAAAACATGAGTGAGTGGTGTGGCCTGTAGGTTACAAGATCTGGGTTTTGAGTAATACCTCAGTCACTGCCTTTGTGTTCTTATGCTGGGCCTATTTTCCTGGATGCTTTGGTAGGCCCAGCTATGGGAACTAAAGATAGGATAGAAGCAGTGTCTTGTGTAGAATCGCGCAATAATTTTACGCCCTTTGACACCTGAATCAGTGCTGGCCTATGGGCTTTTACAGCGTAGGAAGGGTTTATAGTGTGTAGACTGTAGTAACCTTTGTAAGTATCGAAATCAGGAATCTGATACTGTAACATGAAAATGCTTAGCTTAGACAGACATTGAAGTAAGCTGCATTCAGTATTAACCATGAAAGCAATTATTATTATTATTATTATTATTGTTATCATTGTTGTTGTTCTTATTGTTCTTGTTGTTATTATTATTGGTTATATGTGTATTGTAGCATGAACCATCACCTTGGTCAAAATATGAAGATGTTGAGGGAGATGAGCCAAAACCATGCTGTGAGTTGTGTGATATCATCTGGCTTCTTTATTCTGTTACCCCATGACATGTGAATACCTGAATAGGGCCTTCTAATATTTGCAGTGATTTAGTTATCATTTGGTTTTAAATTGATCCCAGTCTACTGCAATAGTGAGCAAATATTGTTGTATGTTAATTGAACTTGCTGAAGACTGAATATCCTTTCAATTTCAACAATAAGGTTTGCATGGTGATAATGATAAAACATCAAACCATCATCACATTTAATAGTTAACACTAGTGCTTCATATTAATTCTAATAGTGTTGATGAATAATAACAGTCATAGTAAAATCTTTATTACTGTAAAAAATATTACGTAAAAGAACACCCTGACAAGTAATAAAATTGAAATTCGTTTGTATAGTACTTATTGAACAGCTATGTAGTGTTGCTGAAAGTCATCATCCTGAGTCAGTAGAGGCCGCCCTCTTCACTTCTTAAATGTGGCTGCTCATTAAAAGACGTTTGTTGTTGAAAATTTCAGTTGAGAGTAAGGTCCAGGTGCTTGAACTAGCAGACATAGAGAAAGAGTACCTGCTACTGAACAACATGCTAAAGCTAATGATGAAAGGTGTTGACCTGTCCTCCATAGCAGGTGAGTCCATCTATTTGCTTTTTACCTCGGGAAGCATGCTGCATCTACTAGCTCTTTTTCTGTGCTGCATTATGGCTCTGCTCAAACCATGTGCTATTATTTTAATAATTGCATAGCACCAGGTTAGTGCGACTGCATCTATAATGTATAATATTGTGTATATAGATTGCAAAGACTAGATACAATCAGGAGTTAATGAGACAAATTGTCTCATTAACTCCTGATACAATGTAGCGATTACAAAATTTTGCCAAAGCATTGTTGTGATCTCACTGGGTTAATTGTGGATTAAGAGTTCTTTCGCCGTCCATAGGCCGCCCTCCAACCCCATTTGAGGTGGTCTCGATGCTATGCACAGCAGGCATGTTTGACTCGGCTATCCTGGTGTGCGAAGCTTTCCAGCTGTCCAAGGTTTCTGTGTTTGAAGCACTGACCTCTAGGTATGTAGTAGGAACCCATGCTCGTTGCTCGTGCTCACGCTCATGGTGTTTACGTTGTATTACTCGCATTGTTCTTTACTGTTATTCGATTAATGATGTGATAAAGGTTAATTCAGTGTTAAATTTCATGGACTCTTGAGACAGGCTAATTAGGTTTTGGATGAGTTCATTGTCTTTGCTGCCATTGCAGATGTGTGAGGCTCTCTCAGAATTGTGGCAACATGGGTGACAACAACTACACAGTCGAGGCTTGGGAGTGGCTCGACAATAATGAGATAGATATCACTCATCCTGCCAAAGAAATCACGTAAGTAAAATGCAGCACCCAATGCGAGCAAACCAATAGCATTTTTTTGCAAAAGGAAAATAAGGGTTGGAATAAAATCAATATGTCCAGTAAGTAACTGTTAACGAAAGGAGTGGCAAACCTAAAAGCAGGGTTTCATCTTAGGAAGTCATGATTATTTAACAAATTTAAATATAGATATAATTTTCTACGTGGTACGTAGTTCACTATACACTGCAATGATAGGTTACTGTGCAGCAAAACAACCCCTGAATTGTTTGTTTGTTTTATTTGACGTTTTTCATGCTTGATTATACAGTACACAATCTATTATTCAAAACCCTTGGGACCAGACACGTTTCGGAATTCGTAATTTTTCGGATTTCGGAATGGTAGTACAGTACAGTTAGATATACCATATATCCTGCAACTAGCCGTTACTAACACCCAAGTTTTCAAGAGGCCAAGTGCTGTACCGGTACAGTACAATATGTATGAATAATGCCAAACACATTAATATTCGGCGGGTCGAGTTTTAGCACCAAACGCGAGCTTTGGTGTGCAGACGACCTCCACGAAAAAACTTTCAGTTTTCGGAGCTGTTCGGTTTTCAGAATTTCGGATAATAGATTGTGTACTGTACCATGTGCCTGTGTTTGTTTCCCGCTCGAGCAGGTCGTCAGAACAGGCTTGGAGACTGTTGCAGATGTACTTAGAAAAGCATCCAGATTACTGTGGTAGTGCTCAACTCCGGTGTATAGCTACCCGTCTGCTGTGCCTTGGTATAACACTACCTTCTTGGTTGTCAGCCATCTACAAGGTCAGCATGTGTAACTTGGATTCTATGCATAAGTTGTAACATTGATAGATGTTTGTGGGTTTTTTTCTGTGGGTTGAATATGTTCAAAGCTTAAATATATTAGATTCGGACCCATTCCTTTTACACTGTTATATGAGGAATTGAACAGTTTAGGTTTACCTTGGTGAATATTGGACAAGATCTATAGAAGCTAATTTTATGGGTAGCCATGAAAAAGTCTGCTTCTACTAGTAGTAAATACTAGTATCTCTCATCGTCACGTAGCTAGTGAGTGATGGACCACGTCTGCGTAGATGTAGGTTGGTATTTTACACTAAGCATTCTATTTTCAGCGAGTGAATGCAGCAGAACTGCTGCGTCTGTACATAGACTACGACCTATTGACGGATGCTGCTAGCCTTGTTATAGAGTACATCAATGCTGCCCTAGGAAATGGCAAGGAGCATTTTAACTTAAAGGTATATATTAAGTTAGAGACGACTCCGTGCTTGCTGGTTTCAGTGATGCTGCAAGCTAATTGGCTGCACTTTTTTCATTATCGGCGGCACCGACTACCTTTAGGAGATCATACTGTAGTTCTGTATACACGTAGCACACACAAAATATTTGCCATTACTTTTCAAATCTTAGTAATTGTAGTTTATTAAAAACATAACATCGGTAGGTTTTCCTCAATCAAATGCTGTGTTGCAGACTGCACTGCACAGCACAACTCCCCCGGTATGGCTGCCATATTCCGAGATTGATCAACTGCTATTAGTGATGAAATCAGTCCAGCATGATGCTTTGTATATTAAGGTGAGCATTTCAAGCTTGTTAAAATAATGGTTTAGCTGTGGAAAATCATTATTCTGTGATACTGTAAGATATAGTGCCATGAGCACAGTTCTGTGAGTGTGCGTGTGTGCATGCATACATATATATATACACAACTACTTTTCTAACAGTGTTTATTTACATGATCTTAAGCAAATCCAAATTACTGTGATAGAAGATATGCATTACACTTTATAGTAAATTTTACAAAAAGTTCACATTTTATTTGTGTTACAGTTATACGAAGACCTGAGATTAAAACTGGCTGACTACCACCGTACTGTAGAAACAGTATCGCAAGACTATGTAAGAGCAGCATCCAAACGAAAGAATGTAGCAGAAATCTAATTATGTAGTAATTTACTAATTACCAGGAGTGAGTATTACAAGCTTCTTTGATTAAGTATATCAAAACAGAAAAATGAATCTATGTAATGTGTGAGTGTAATGTTGATTTTTCCAAACACATCAGGTTTAGGAAAACCAATCCAGTTTAAGCATTATTTTCGGTTGAATTTAGTTTGTTATGCTACACACTGGAATGTATTTAAAATGACAAGAAGATGAAAATGTACTTTAAGAAAAAGTATGTTTGTTTGCACTTTTAATATACTGTACCTTGCAGGAGTGATGCAAGTTTCACAATGCCGGTTTATTTAAAAACTACGTATATACTGCAAACTTGGAATTCTAAAATCCTTTACTTAATGAAGATTTAGTATGCTGTTATGCAGAGTGAGTGCTGAGCTGTTTTCCTGCCATCATGCACTTGCTGATTGGTTGACTGGGTGTAATTGGCATTGCTTTGGAAAATGCATCACACACTGTACTGCATTAGTATCACACCAAGCATTGTCATGTGCAAACCTGCTGTTGTGTGCTAAGGACATTCCAGTTGTTATCCTGTTTACTGCACCCTTCTTCTACTCGTGTTTGTTATAATGGCTTCCAAACTTCCAGCGACCGCTTTGCCTACCCCTGCTCCACTAATTAAGCGCAAGAGAGCCTCGAGTAAAAACTCGAGTAAAAACTCGTTTTCTGTAAATATTTGTGTTTATTCTGCTGTATTAATATAATTTCAGTGTAGTTAAAATGCATTCGAGTCATTATATTTGATGGTGTTGCATGCATCCGTTTTTCCTCCATGTTTTTATATATGATGTGTAATTTCCGTTTATGCAGAATTTTCACAGAACGCAACCCTCACATAAATCGAAGAATTGGTGTATTCAAAGTTTCACTATTGTTTTGCTTTATGGTCTGTTAATTATAATACATCCAAACTTTCATAGCTCGGTAGTAGAGATAAATGGACTATTACTTTTAATTACGTGTGTGCCATAGACACGTACAATAATAGACTATAATAGACTAGTACAACTTATGTTATCAATGTAAAGGCAAAAACAAAAGCGTGGGCAAATGCATCACTATGCTTGCAGACGAACTGTTAATATGTATCCAATTATTCAAGTTAAAATCGCAATGTAGCATAACTAGCCAAATTTAAACGAAATTTATGCAGAAAGGTAGAGTGTAGTGTTACGAAAATGGCAAGGTATATTGTACCTTGGTAAGCAGCATAGAAGAAAAGAAAATGTAACATGCTTTTTTTATTACTGTAGATTGGATAACCTATAGAAAACAGACAAAAAATATGTATCTTATCTCTGCTTACATTGTAAATAGTCGTACAGATAGTTTAGACTAGATATACCTGGCTGCTATTATGTTATCAGTCACAGTGATGTTTATGAAAGGGAATATGCAAATAGAAATGTCAAATATATGACAATGATTCTAAAAATAATGACAGACGTATTCCATAATATTTTTGTAATGTCTAAACCTGTAAGGATTGTGAAATTGTGCATAGCGTGCATTTGTGAAAATAAATAATAGTGGGTACATTTAAACAGATAATCATATTATCTTTGCATTTATAAATAATCACCAATTTATTATGTAGCCCTATTTAATGTGATAAGTCGTCTCGATTTATATCACATATAATATTTAAAAACAGCAGGCAAACACCTATATGCATAACAGATGTTGTTTGCGTGATGATACGGTAATTTGCCTTGCGCTTTAAACTGCCACATACACGTTTGCAACATTACACAGGGACTGATGTGTGTAGTCTCAGGCTGAAACTGGAAGTCAAACATCTTCAACTCGTATGAGGAAATAAAGGAACGAAATATTGCACGTACATGTATAAGTTCACATTGTGACGTGCAATCGACAACTTTGATCACACTATTCACTACTAGCTCATCTCATACAATTATTGATAATGTATGAAATTGTTTTTAACATTGCATCCTGTCATAACAGAATCGCTGTATTAGAGACTATAATTATATATACAAGCCATCAATTACGAGTCTAAATAAAAAAAGGCCATAGCAATTCTCCTCCACCACCCGCATTATAATGCGATGGGCAACTTCTAACACGTGATTAAAATGTGAATATATTTGTGATTACAGACGTCACCTCAATTTTACCGATACAATTTAATTACAACAGAGGAAAGAAATGAGGCTGGAATGGAAATAAAATGAAGCAAGATTGAATGACTGGAAATGAAGCCGAAAAGTTAACGAGCAGATAATCAATCACGTCGATAAGTGGGTGTAACATGTCTAGTATACAGCTTGATAACATCACTGAAGTACACGATCAATTAATGTTCATATTCCGTTAGTCATGTACTTCTAATACATAATTTTTGTTTTTTTAATGTACATGTCTGTGGCACTGCCTGTGTGTTTCTTTTTGAAATAACAGCAGTGATTTTCAGCATCAGATCTAACTCTGCAAGTTAGTGTTTATAAAGTAGTACAAAATCGTTTTTAAACGCGTGATCTTGCGATTAGGAAATGCAGGAAAAATGCAGGACTGAGCGAACACCAGTGTATACCCACTTGCGCTCACGCACAATAGCACATTTTTTGGACCACGTGACATGTCAAAGGATACCACCAATTTCAAAATGATAGTGCAGAAATCGAATTACCCCATCACAAATTTCCAACGAAAATTCAAATCTAACACAGCACGGTACACATACGCATTGCAGATGTGCAAATGCACATACACACATTCAGTATTAATAATCATGTTTGATTGCTAAACATAGAGCACAGCCTGAACATGCTACAAAAGTCGAACGCAAATGTTTTCTCTGCCACTCTGCTTACACTACAGACACAGGTTCCAGCAGTCACGCTTATGCGTACCGTGTTTCACAGTGCATCATATAGCAAGTTGCTTACACTGCCAGCTCAACAGTATAGAAAATACTAAATATGAAAGCTTCCGTCACACTGCCTTTTAATTCTCTGGCCAAATTACACGTGCAGAGAAATTACGGCATTTGTTACAATTAGTGATCCTAGCCATTCCCAATTTATTTTTATACAGATAGACGTCACAGCTTAACTGAATGGATACATGAACATTATTCGCACAAACACATGCATACAAAGTGGGCAATATATTCGGTGGCTCTGATTTTTTCTCAATGTCTTATCAAGAAACAGATCTGTTGTGCATATGCTTTCAGAAACAGCTTGCAAACTCTCACTCGAAAATAGCCCCCCACAATTGTCACATAATGTTAACATTATACACTCATCACATACATAATCACAGTACTAAACTAGACAGAGTGCACTCACGGAGTGCATACCTCTGCCAGCGACATACGCCACACGCCATACGACTCACGAACACACGAATAACCGACGATATACGCCAGCGTACTGACATGTAAACGCTGCCATGTAATATGTATGTGTTACGAGCTGGCTCGCCGCTCGCTGCTGGCTGCTGCTGACTGCTGCTGGAGCTGGCTGGCTTGCTTGACTCGACGCGCTAATATCGATCGCGCGAACACACGAACACACGAACACACGAGAGCGAAAACATAACCTCCTCCAACTCCGTTGGGCGGAGGTAAAAATTGTTTTCACTTCCAGCTAGATTACATTGTCAGTTACAAAGGTTTTTATAACAAGTATATATACAGATTCTGTTTCCATTTTTAAAACGACATTGTTCATAGTAAGGAACTGTCTAACACAGCTCCTTGGTTTAATAATAGATGTTCTTGTTCATGTGTTAACAGTATGGTTTGAGTCAATTCATTGTTTCCACTCAACCTATCCCCGTCCTATTCAACTTCAATGTCTTTTAGTAGATTCTACCTACACTAACAGTCATATTCAATTCGATTTTCCATTAAATCCATTCAAATCTAAGGCATCCAAAGCCAAGTATAGCTGTGGTTTAGTGCAAGAAATTTTCTGAATTAAAATGAAATTGATCAATACATATTATTTCAGATAGGTACTTTAATATGAAGCTGTTCTGCCATCTATATGAGCAAATTATTTGTTAGCGTACATCACCAGTATTTGCTTATACATAGACCATCAGTATGAGTGTAACAGTGAAATACTTTTAAAAACAACGACAGGGCCGTAGCCTGTGGGGGGGGGGCAAGGGAGCTGCCCCCCCTAGATTTTGGAGCAAAATATTTAAAAAAAATTCTACTAAAAGGGAATTGTCGTAGTCAGAATGAAGGCTGTACATGTACTCAAAAGTGCCTCAAATACCATCTCATGCGATCTAAATTTTCAAAATTGTCTGTGGGAGGACCCACAACTTTTTCTCACCCCCTCCTTGAAATCCTGGATCTGCCACTGCCCCCCCCCCCACCTAGGAATTTGCTCAGCCTACTGCCCTGAACGCTGTTCAAAAAGACTAGGCTGTGTATGCTACACATCTAGGTAGTTTTAAATAGATTCCATTCAACCAATTAATTCCAATTTGTGAAACCTGGTTCCTAATGCTGCATTTTCTTTAGAATCAAATACTGGCAGCATAAATGAAAGCATACTACCATTACCTTGTTAATCTTTGAAAAAGAATGAATGTTACAGCAACTAATGAAGATGAGTGAGATCATCAGATTTTTTTTTTACATATAATCGAGAACCTGAAATGATAACATCCATTCAATCACAACTCCACTTTGAATTAACCCAAACCTATCTGGTGCTCTCACACATCATCTGACAGATTTCACCTTACCATCTTGCTGAGACTAGTTGCTTGTTTCTTTGCATGGTGGTCCTGCTTCTTGCGCACATGTTCAGCAAGCCTCCGCTCACGCTCTTGCTTGCGTTTCTCCCTAATGACAGCATCTGCGTCCCACGAAACTTCATCAGTGTCATCCTCCCACAGATTATTGCTCTCCACCCACGCTCCTAGCTCAGGCCCCTGTCCAACATGGCAATTTTAAACATGAAAGTACAGGTAAATATTTAGATTTGAAATGTATAATTGATTGTCTTACAATATCAGCAAAAAAATGAATGCATAAGTCTGATAATGACTTACTTAACTAGTTCACTCATACACTGTACAGTATTACTCCATGTTACGGCAACTTGGTTTAAATGTAATAATGCCCATACGTAATTTGTAAGCTATGACCACAACTTGCACATAGGTAGTATCAAGAGCTCATAGTCATAATAGAGATGAGCTCTATTGCGAGCTCTTGGTAGTATGTTAACTACAACTGCTATTCTTGGGATGTGAAATGACAATGCCACTCTTACGGAATTTTGCAAAAGATTGAGCATGTTATTTTACATTAAAAAAATGTAGCATGCTTAATCACGGTAAATAAAGTTTGCAATAAATACGCAGCCAGCTGCCAACACGGTAGGTGGATCACCTTTGATAAGTTTTAAATGTACTGCCAGGGAATGAAATTCAGATTTTTTGCACTGGCCCAGAAGGATGGTAACAGCAGTTTTTGACCAGCTCTCACCATAATTTACCAGCCCTCACAATTTTTTTTTCAAAAATAAAGATAAGACTGATTCACTGACTCTGCTTGTCCGGAAAATGTTTTAGTGTGCGGCATTGCGTAGTAGCTGTTGAACAGATTATAATACAGATCGTGAATGATGGCCGAAGTGTTTTTGCCAATGTCATGTTTCACGCTTCTCGATTCCAAATGTGTAAAATGTTGATAAATTATGGCGTGATATCCTTCACAGCATTGTAGGCCATTTGCTCATTAATGCTATAAATAAAAATCTAGGTACTCGCTAACACGGCTGAATCCACCGGCTCGGAGGGCCGGTGTTTTGCCAATGTTACTGGCCCTCCAAATAATTTGACGGCATATATGCTGGTGGGCCAGTGCTAATTTCGAGCCCTTACTGCTATCATATTAGAATTTGATCTATATATGGGCTGTTTATGAAATGTGCATATTCATGCAATCAGTCCCATCTGCATCTACTATTACTTCAATAGCAGCTCACAATGACTTCCCCTGCTACCGCTACAGTACAGTTTGCCGTAAACAGTAACTGACTAAGGAAAAACTTCACCGTCCTGGTTAGAGCCCAAAACACCCAAACCCCAAACACTAGAAAAAAAATTAGAAAGCAGTTTAATAGCTAAGCTCCTTTGAAATGTGGCAACGTGCTGTTAAATGAAGAAATTAATTATCAATCATCATTGACTTTTCTGTAGTTACAGATGTGAATATGAAGGTTTTGCAATACTAATTACCTAAAAAGTACCTCTCATAATCACATCAAACTGGCTTTTAATAATGAATGTAACATGACATATACCTGAGCAGGTAGGCCAGATATAGCATCCATCTGTAACCTATTTGGTGCATCATCTCTAGGTGCCAACTCTTCTTTTTTATGAATTAAAACCTAAAATACAAACACCTTTGAGAGATGCAAAACATTTCTCATGGAAAGTATAAATTGTGTAACCTTGATAGAAATTTTAACTTAGAGATGGCATATTTAAACCTCGGTTACCTGTTAACAGTTTTCCACCGTATATAAATCACTGTGAAATGCTTAGAAGTACTGAATTAGATAAATTTCCATAAAATTATAACAAGTAATAAAAATATACCTTCTTTGGTCGTCTAACACTCGGTGTCATATTTTCGAAAAAATTGGGCTCTTCTTCCAATTCTGGTGCTGGTTGCATTTTAGTGCTGCTGTATTTTCCCCCCGATATTAAATTATTTGTATGTGCATCTTGTGTTTGCATTTCTTGAGAATGGGATACAGATGTTATACCCCAGTTTTCCCAACTGACTTGCTCCTCCTGAAATGAAATCGAACATTGCCCATTTTTACTGTTGCTCATGCTGCAAGATAATAGTTATGTACTTGGGTATAGACTTATGTATACTTATGTATAGTATAATACTTATGGATATATACTTATGTACTTGTACGTGTAAGTGAAAATCCTATTAGTAGCAAAATCTATAACATACAGCTGAACAAACAGCATACAACAGGCTTGGCTTATTATCCACATTACACTAAGAAATGTGTGATTTCTTACCAAAGTATCTTCTCCAGGGGGTCCGGAAAATCCCATGGGCACAGATATATGCTCTAGATCTGCATTTGATATAGGAAGGAGCGATTTGGAGAGCTTTCTTCTCCGTAGTCGTAAACAACATAATGCTCGTTTCAGCAAATTCAGAAAGAAAAAAAACACCCCACTTATCTTCCTTCCAATTATTCTAAACATTTTCACATGTAGTGCTGGTGGTAGACTTTATCTAGGTTCATTGGCCTGGAAACAACCATCCTGTAAAACAAATAATAATAAAAATTTGAAACTAAAATGATATCATTACGTAGAATCGCTGGGAGATTAGGCATCAACACTCGGCGAGATAACCTTTGACCCGGTACACAGCTACACAGGCCACCTTTGCACATACCTGGCATGCCTTCATGCACACACGCCAACCGCAATCAGCAGCAGCTGATCGGGCTCAAATCTCCCAGCGAGCCACATTGCCCGCCGAGTTAGCAAGCTGTGGTTAGGTAGCTGCCTTTTGTTTGAATTAGAGGCGCGCAATGGCTTTGGATTGATGGCCAAAGAATGGAGAATCGTGTCGTACGTTTTAAGGTCCGCTTATGTCGGCCTTACGACCTAGTCGCCGACAAGATTTGAATATCGTACGTCAAAAACCGGCCAGATCGCCAATAAAAACATCGGCGACCAAACTCGACATGAGTTCTCTTACGATCGAAAATACGGTCGCCGACTGCGATCGCAGGAATAGAACATGTTCTATTTCTATGCGGCTGTCGGCGACAAATCGTGAGTGGCAGCCAATCACCGCAGCGTGTCGAGTCAAATGATTATCAAAAGTCACGTGATTAATAAAATTGAAGTGTCTAAACAACCGGAT